GTAATTAGTTAAAGGTTAAAAACATAAGTAATATATTTTTATCCAACGTGAATATTATTTTTCTTTCTTTTTTGTCTAATTTTAGAGGGATTGATTTTGTTGAGTTAGAAGAAAAGTTCATTCATCCACTTTTTCATCTTTGTTATTTTTTTTTCATACTAAACATGATATTTTATCTATCTCTCTAACATTGTATTCTTCAAGTCACCGTGGTTAACCATTGAACTTGAGGGAGTAGTCGACGTAAATCTAAACACCCTATAACAAAAAAAATCTACCTTAAGTACTATTTTACCCTTATAAATAAGTTTAAATACCACATTATCTTTCTATAGTTAAATATTTAAATTACAATCATATCCTTATGTATTTAAAACTTTAAATTACTTTCTAACATCTCTTTTAATTCTCTATTATTTTTATATAAATATCAATATCTATAAAAAAAATTTAATTGACTACGTTTTCCTTAAAAAATATATGTTAATTATTATATTTTTCAATTTTGTTTTGGGGGGTGGAGGAGGGAAGTATTATAGTTTTTAATAAAGTGTTCAAAAACTTCATCAATAGATCTTTAATCTTTTCAAATATATAGATAATATTATGTCTATATATATGTGTATTTTTTTTTCATCTATACTATTAATAAAGAATAAAAATTTTGTATTAGCATGAAAAACTTTTTATTCAATATTTTATTCTTTTAAACAATTTCAAATACTACACTATCATTTCGTAGTTGAATATCTAAATTAACATAATATACTTACGTGTTTAAATCTCCAAATTACCTCAAATATCTCTTTTAATTCTCTATTTACTATGTATAAATATCAGTTTACATGAAACATTTTAATTAACTACATTGTCCTTAAAAAATGTATGAATCACTATAGTTTTCAATAAAACGTTAAAAAATCTTCAAGAAATTTATCAATCTAATATTACTTATTTTAAATATAAAGATAATATTATACTTACATATGTGTATTTTTCTCATCCAAAATTTCAACAATTCCATTTACATGATAAAAAAATAATCTTTTACATAGTTTTTTTTAAAAATAATTTCTTTTAAATTAATATAATTCTTCAATCACAATATATATTTTAGAGTTAATAGTACTTTTAGTCACTGAAATATAAATATTTTATCAGTTTGGTCTTCGTTGCATCAATTTTATCAATTTGATCATTAAAGTATTTAGTTAATGTTTAAATGATCCATATACAAATAGTCTGTTAAGTTTTGGAAAGAAGTGATCACATGTTGGTCGCATGATACTATTTGACGGAATGACACTTCTGTCAAAAAACTTAATGGATTATCTAGTTAGAGACCAATTTAAATAATAAAATTTATATATTGAGGACTAACCTGATAAAAAAATATATATTTTAGAAACCAAAAGTATTATTAATCGTTTATTTTATCCCTATTAACCTAACTAATTTTTAATTATAGTAAGCATTAATTAGAATATTGATAATTATTTTTATTTTAGTCAATCAATTATAAGATGAAACCTAATCAAACGAATTTTAAATGAATTATTTTTATGTTTTTTTTTATAATTAGAACAACATATTGCAGGGAATAGATATTATTTTTTTAAATTCTATAGTATAATATGAGCAATAAAAATATAATTTTGAAAATTAAGATGATATTTAAT